TGTGTGTGTGTGTGTGTGTGTGTGTGTGTGTGTGTGTGTGTGTGTGTTTAAGAGAGAGTATCTGTGTTTATGTATGAGCCATGTTGTGTATGAGTATATTTATACAGAGTCATCAGTTGAGACCAAGGTTGATCTGTGAAGAACAATAAAGAAAGACAACTGGTCAAAACTCACCACCTAACACCTACCCCAGAACTATACCTACAAACAAAGAAGAAGTCAAAACATGTGAAAATAAAAAATATGGTTTTTGCCCTATCTGAATCCCATCCTCTGAATGGATTCCCCAAAGCATGGCCTAGATGGGTATGCCTTCCTACACCGCCTGAGAGTGTGCAAGACTGTTCTGTTTTGACATACAGCTTCTCATTTCTTACATGAACGATTGTCTCTCACAGACACAAATAAAGAAGCCTTGCAAAGCCATTTTCCATAGTTACAGACATTGTTGTTTGATTTGGTAGATACAGTCTGAATTAATAGAGACAAAACACAACACAGACACAGCATATTTACCTCTCCAGGAGGAATGCCAACGCAAATCCTGTCAACGGCTGGCTTCCGCTTCCTTCTGTAGATCTGCAACCAAGGAAACGCATAAATCATTCATTTCAGTGACTCGGGGCTCCCGTGGGCAACCGTGCAGAAGGGGACTATAAGCCACATGCAGAATAAAACAGAAATCATCAAATTGCTACAGCACACACTGGATGTGGCAAGGGCCATCTTGTGTCTCTGTGAGAAGTGGCTTTTAGCTGACTCTGAAACTCAAAATTGAGTTTCTTGTTTTATTTGTAATGCGAGACTTAAGAAAAAAAAGGCAATGAAATATTTTAGAATTAAATTATATAAGGTAGAAATCTATACTATAATGTTTCAAATACCGTAAGGTAAAATTTGAGGGTTATGGTATTTGGAAAAAGATGAAGCAGACTGTCTTTCAGAGCAATGGAGGTGGAGTTGTTTTTTGAGCCATGAAACTCAAAATCAACTATTTACTCTCTACACCATGGCTAGACACACAATGTTAGTATGTTTTAATAACTAACATAAATGTAAATATGCAAAATAAATAAATCCAAAAGTGAGAACTGTATTACTGAAGTATTATTATTATTAAGAAGTCTCCATGGTGTAGTTTAAATAAAAGCAACAAAGCCTGGTGTAGATGCACATTTGGGGAAGAACTGGGTTTTGTTTTGTCACTGTTGTTGCTGTTGTTTTAAACAAGCCAGCAAAACGCAAACAAAAAGAAGCACATTAAAGACAAGTTACTGACGTCCATGCTCACGTTCTCACCTTCGTCAGCTCCTTGATCTCCAGGATGTCATTCTGCCCTCCACCGTCCAGAATTCTCTGTCTCTCCCGCCTCACATCCTCATCCTCGTCATTCAAAGGAGGGAGCTTCGCTTTTACAGGTCTTAGGGGAAACATTTTTCAGAAAAATCAAACTTTTCAGCTACTTTCCAAGGCAAAATTCAAGTATCCAAAGCAATCTTATCAAGCCCCCTTGCTACCGTTTCTAGGGTGGGCAGGGCTGGGAGCTGAGGATACTCCCAGCAGGAAAGCCCGCTTAGCTGAATGAGTTCAACTCAGTGCAGTCTCCCAGGACTCACGTGTCTCTCTGTCCCCATCCAGTTTCTACAAGAGTTGGGAGAAAAACACTCACCTGGGCCTGATGAAAAATCTGTACTGGATCAGAACAGTAATGAGAAAGAACACTACTCCTTCCACAGCCATGGCAAAAAGGTTTCGTCCCACCAAGTCCCAAGACAGTGGAGACACAAAGCGATTCTCTCCTGTGAGACACATGCAGACATTTGGTCAGGGAGGGGGCACCAGAATTGTGGCCCTGCTTCTTGTTTCTGCAGGCAAGATTCCCTTTGAGTGCACCTAGACTTGTGCTATGCACAGAGAGGGCGCTTGGGTTGTGGGTGGCTTTTGTTGTTTAAAATTACTAGAGATTATTATCATACTTAACCTTCAAGGCTAGCTTAAGCATGAATTTGGTTTTTTGTTTGTTTGTTTGTTTTAACACTTGAAAAAAATGAAAGGACTCCCCTTTATTAAAAAAAGGAAGAAAAAAGTAAGAAAGAAAGGACAAGGAAGGAAGTCAGTCTTTCTTCAGCTTTGGAGTCACTTTCACATAACTTTTCTAGAAACACCAAAGGCTACCACCCATGACAAGAAGAAAAAGCAGTTACAAGAGTGTTTACTTTTGAGACTTCATCTGGAGAACTGTAATACAACCTGGTATCAAGTCAGAATTTCAAAGCCAATTTGCATTGGATCTGTAACTTCATTAGGATTGCTGAAGTTTCCTTTTTAATGAGATATGCCATCCCCACCCCAATGATCTCTCACATGGCCAACAATCTTGGCTAATTCTTGGCGTCAGATTTTTTTTTTTTTAGTTTTAAACGTAACAAGTATTAGAAAATGCATTTAAAAGATGTCCATTTCCACAGCATTTAATGTAACTAGTGACTTAAATTAGCTGGTTTTCAAAAAATATCCCTTAATTCTTCATATGTCTCCTTTGTATCACTAAACTGAAAAAGTCCCTCTTGTATGTTTATTAAGTAGCATGGCCCATCTAAACAAACTGCCCAGCAAATGAGTAATAGTCACAAAAAAGTTTCAATATAATATTATCTCTTTACAGACTACATAACATACAATACATTAACATCCCTGCAGGCCCATGGTTTTGTTAGTAGAATCCAAGGGTACATTTTTCCTTTTGAATCTCTAAATGTCAAAGCTGTGGCTTGATTTATCCAGTGATTTGAGAAACTCAACCAGTGGCATTAGGTATTAGTTTCAAAGAAATGACAGCATTTCCTGCTTCCAAAAATTTTTCCCCATTTACCTCAGTGCTATTAGAGGCACAGATAAATGTCTATATAATGAGACTCACAACAAACCGGTTATGTTGGTATTGACCTTTGAGGTGTGTTGGGGACACCCAGTCCTGCCCTCTTCCTAAAGCTGCCACCAGAGTGTTGAGGCCCATGAAAACTACTATCGCCGTTAAGATTTTCCTGAAGCTACTGCCTCACTCACCAAACCTCTCCAAGGCATCAGCCATCGCCTGGTTTTTCACCATGTCAATGAGCCCTCGCCCCAGGCAAAAATGTGGGAAGATGAGGAACACAGACTTCAGGATGTCATTGATGTTATTCAGTTTCTAAAGATGAGAAAACAAGAGAAATATATATCAAAATCTAAGCTAAAATCTTATCAAAGTCTGAAACACGGATGTAAAGAAAAGCATCTGATTCCTTGTACCTTTGAATTCAGATACCAATAAAAAGCAGCAGGATTTTCTTGAGAAAATCTGGAGTGATGCTGGGTATGTGAAAGTAAACCTCTGAACATGGGTACTTTTCCACAACAAATCATTATCTTAGCATTTTAAAAGCAACTCACTCACGTCTATGTCAATATTTGAGTTTCAGGATTTTATTGGAATTTCAAAATCATCTTCCCAATTACATCAAAACATATTATGACCCCATAAGTAAAGGCTGGTTAAATACCAAGACACTGGAGTGGGAGAGATGGCTCAATGCTTTCAGAGGACCAAGGTTTGGTTCCCAGCACGCACAGGATGGTTCACAACTGGCCCTAAGTATAGCTCCAGAGGATCCAACTGCTTTGTCTGGCCTCTATGGGCTCTACTACACACACATGGCATACCCATAGAGTGAAAATAGAAAAAAAAAAAATCCAGCAATTTAGTAAGCTGCTGTTTGCTGGATGTGTTGGGCCCCTGCACAGAGGATGCAAATGTTAATACTCTGTTTCACTCAGAGAAAAGAAACTTGTGAAAGGGAAATGATGACATGATCGAATGTGCATTACCCTGAAGGGAGAACTGAGCCTCTGACAGTCCAGAGAAAAGAAAGCATATACCACATTGGGCAAATGAGCAAAGCTTCACATTAGAGTTAAATCCTAAAGGATATGGTAGGCACTCCCAAGCGCTGCGATAGAAGGACATTTCAAGGCAGGCCTACAGGATACGGTGGTTTACGGGAAAATTCAGCTGAAATCACCAAGCACTGGGCGGGGATACGGTAGTGTATGGCCAGCAAGGGTTGTGCACCTAAAAAAAGCACTGTGTGCTGAGCGAGAGCAATAGAGAGTCTTGTTTATAGGACTTGAAACTGAGAGAATTCTGATGAATAATGCAACGAATAAACAGCTAAGCACCTAGGATGGGTCCAAGAGAGGCATCATGAGCAACTGCGGAGATGCCATTCAGTAAACAGTAAACAGGGATGACAAGAGAAATACTAAGTCCAATGGGAAAGACTTTCACAGTGTGTCTACTATGTGTCTAGTGTGTGTGTGTGTATATATATATATATATATATATATATATAAATATATATATATATAATTTAAATGGAGTCATCTACCAGACAGTGAGAACTAGAGTTCCAATGAACAATCAAGGCATAGATCTGAGAGATAAAAATGCTGCCATGGTGGTGAGAACCTGAAGACTGAATGGCATCCTCCAGAAATGGTGTCTAAATAGAAAAACAAAGCCAGAAGAGAATACAGTCTTTGCCAAAGCAACACTGAAGGAGAAAGTAGTATGGGGGAAAAAAAAAAATCAAAGGAAACAGTTAACACCTGACCAGAGAAATACAAGGGATAGCAGGACAGGAAGTTATATGAACTAGAAAAGGCAGATTCTGTGAAAGCACAAAGCGGTCAGTGGCGTCGATGTCACAGACAAGCGGCATGAGACTGGGGTTAACCACTGTCCTCTGGCGCCTGGAGTGCAAGCCAGCTGGACATGCTCTGCCCGCAGCACTCACATTGTTGGTAAAGAGCTCCAGTACAAAAGTGGCCACGCTGCCATTGATGCCGATGAAGAGGTTTACACTGGTGAGGACCACATAGGCGGTGCTGGGGATCTTGAACACAAAGGAGGCTGGGTACATGAGCGGTGTGATGGACCACCTGGGGAGGCACAAATAGAAGCATCCATTGGAGTTTTCCGCCTTCCCTCTAGCATCGGGTACCATATGCCTTGCCCACTGGGAGAGAGTCCCACCCAGAGCTGTCTTACCCATACAGTAAAAGCAAAAGGGCTAGGACAGGCAGGTTGGTGGAGGACACGTAGGACTTCTGCTGGAAGCAGATGAAGATGATAATGACCAGTGTAGCAGGAACCACATAATTGCACTAAAAGAGAAAGTAAGAACATAAAGTTGACCCCTGAGTCAAATATACAACACACACCAAGTCTTCCCCATCATCGGACAAGAAAGGACAGATAAATATGATGGAGAATAACTCTGAATTAATGAAGCCACATAAACTATTAATCAAAATTCTGGACAATACAGTTTGACAAGCATTTTACCCTTGGCTGAGTTTATAAACTGCATGCCCTTTCTGTCTTTCCCACAGCTAAGCCAAGGTGTCACGCTCAGTAAACTTACTGAAGGATGGATTCTCGGGCAGAGTCATTTCAATTTCACAGGAGGCAAATGAGCGTCCATTATTCTACCCAGAGATGATTGTGTCTGTTCCATCATTAATGCTATATTATGGTCTGCCCGAGTTCAATCTCACATGTAATCTATTTGTGAGATAAGCACTCATAACATGAATGTCAAAATTGTTTCATCACACCGAGAATAATTTTACAGTCTGTCCTGACAGTGCCTCAAGCATTAAAATGAAGAAATAAAGACTTGACCCAGGAACAATTATGAAAATTCATAGCTGGTACAGAGAGAGAGAGAGAGAGAGAGAGAGAGAAGCACATGGAGGTGATAGTGGGTTGGCAGATAGGAAAAGAATGGCAGCTGCAGACTGCCTCAGTCCCATCCTATTTAAATGTTTATCAACTCCTCAAATAAAGACATGCTTGGGGCTGATCTCAGGCTCTTAAAGAGGGAGGGACAGAAAATACATGGGAGTACTAGTGATGTCCCTGAGGTCAAGGATTGCTCTTTCATCTCTGAATGACCTCTGCCAGGCACAGCCAGAAACCATCAGACTTGTAATGAGCACTCAACTGTATTTTAAATGAATGAGTTGCTAGATCAAGATTAAAAAAAAAAAAAAGCAAATGATGCAGTTTAATACCAGTTAAAAAAAAAATATCTAGGTTCAAAAAAGTTGATTCTGTGCATTACCATAGAAAAAAACAAAGCCCTAGTTAATAGTAATTCACACGAAATAGGTTTTATTTCATCACCAAGTTGAAATAAGTGAGTATTACTTCTAAATGCCATACCTTGAGCTGCAGTAAAAAGAATGAGATAAAGATTAGCTTTTTCTAGACCCGCAACCATACAGATCATGGCTGGAACACAAGGTTAACTCTGAGCTTTGCTTTCAAAAGGAGTACTGATAAATGGGGCAATCAGATCAGAAGAGTGACAGGTCTTCAGGCTTGGTGTAATTAGTGTATGCAATTTCATTATCTCCATCATCATCACTCATGTCTCTACAGTATCTTAGAGATCCTGTGTGCTCTCATATATCTCGTCTGAGAGAAAAGTTTGTTTAATGAGAGTTGCCTTTAAAAGTCTGAGAAACCGTTTATTGGGCAAAGAATTAAATTTGTTTAGGGTAGTTTAGAATTAATGAAGGCCATAAGGGAATAGTTCAAACTGATTTGCCAATAATTGGAAGTTCAGGGTTCTATGGAAGTCTTTCATATTGATCCAAACAAAACCAATATAGTATAGTTGATACAAAAATGGATAAACTGCAACGAACAGACAAGATGCTGACACAACTTATTGAGTTTTCAGTGACAAGTGGCTTTCCTAGAAGGCAAAAAACACCCTGACTCTAAGTTAAAACCCATCAGTTAAGTTAGAAGTTCTGGCTTGGGTTTTTAATAAAGGGCTTTCTATTCTATTCTCATTTTTAAAGAGTATGCTGGCTAGACTTTTATCAACTTGACACAAGCTAGAGTTATCAGAGAGGAGGAAACTTAAAATGAGAAAATGCTTTATAAGATCTGGCTGTTAGACATTTTCTTATTTAGTGATTGATGAGGAAGAGCCCAGGCCAATTTTGGTGGTACCTTCCCTAAGGTGGCAGTCTTGGGCACTATAAGAAAGCAGTCCGAGCAAGCCTTGAGGAGCACGCCAGTGAGCAGCGTTTCTCCACGGCCTCTGCCGTAACTGCTGCCTGAAGGTTGCAGCCCTGCTTGAGTTCCTCTCCTGACCTACTTTGGTAGTGAACTGTGATGTGGAGTATAGATGATAGCTGGTAATACCTGTAGTCACAGTGCTCAGATGGTCCCATGATGTACAATTAGTTTTAAAGCTACCACTATGTTTGGTGTCATGGATGCATTTAGCTGCCTCTCCCTTTTCCTATTTTGTAGTTTTAGACTAAATGGGGCACTTTCTGCGGTTAATGTCAGGCTGCTTTTCCTTTATCCCCATGAGCCCGCAGTTCCCACTGAGATTCATACAGAGATAGAAAGTCCTATGTCCTCACCATATCCCAGACAAAATTGGAGAGCCAGTAGATGACGGGCTTCACACCGCTGATGAACTGAAGGTGTTTGGCTTTGCTCACCCGCTCCTGGATCAGGAACACAACAAAGCTGGCTGGGACAAAGGACATCGCAAAGATGACACAGATAGACACAAGGACGTCGACAGATGTGGTCATCCTAGAAGGGAAGAGGCAGTAAAGATCAGGGGAACCTTTGATGCAGCTGGAGACTCGGTAAACAACTGGCCAGACATAAGCACAACCAAAGTCAGCCAGGACAAACGTTCACCACACATTTTATCTTAAGGTTCCACCTAATTATTTTCAAGTAACATTTTAAGACACAACAACTCAGATGGTAAAACTGGTTTCTATAATGTTAAAATGTGTGTACCCTCAAAATATGGGTTTTCTGGGCTGGAAAGATGGCTCAGTGGTTAAGAGCACTGTCTGCTGTTCCAAAGGACCCGGGTTCAATTCCCAACACCCATATGGCAGTTCACAACTGTCTGTTAATGCTGATTCCAAGTGCTCTGACTCCTTCACACTAATGCATATAAAATAAACCAAATAAATCATTTAAAAAATATGGGTTTTCTGATCTTAGAGTAATGAGATATAAACTTCCATATAAAAAGAAGTTAATGTAGCTTGAGAACTCTTTCAAATGAGGAAGAAATCCTTGGGGTTTTTGTTTGTTTGGGTTTTTTGAGACAGAGTTTCTCTGTATAACACAGCCTTGGCTCTCCTGAACTCGATTTGTAGACCAGGCTGGCCTCGATCCTTCTGAGTGCTAGGAAAAAATCTTATTTGGAAGCTAGTCGTTGAAGTTAATCATATGGCTATAAATAAGTTGAAAACAAAGGGATCCATATATCAGGCTAACACATACAAAAAGTAATCTATCTATATCTATCTATCTATCTACCTACCTACCTACCTACCTACCTACCTACCTATCTATCTCTATCTGCTTAACAGTCTAATAAATATAAAAAGCCCACTATATAGAGTCTTGTAAAGATCCTGATGGTCAACATTATTATTCTAAAGTAGTTCAACAGCAATGTGGCATTTCCCACTTATGTGAGGGGCTCTACCATGCTGATTACCAACTCTGTGTTGGGTGCTGGCTGTATAAATTTGCACAGATTACCACATTTCATATTACATACCTAGGAAGTTTAGACACCAAATTTAAATCCATATTCTTTCATCCAAAGACTCTATTGACCTTAAAATTTATGCACATATACGTATTTCAGGAAAGAAACTGGTAAATGCATGTCTCACTAAATTAAAAAACCCAATTTTCAAGCAACTGAAATATTAATGGTGAGCTAATTATGTTAGGGTTTTACTAACAATTTTAATTCACTTTATGTGAGTTCATCAAAGGTGATGGTTTTCACAGATCTGGTCTTCCTTCTTCACGTCAAGAAAGATTGACAGGCAATCTGTAAACTGCTCATTTTCTGCCCAGAGTCTGGATCAACCCAGGCTTATACAATGTAATCATCTCTGGCTGTTACAAGCAGCTTTGCAGTCCTTTCCTCTGGTGCACACTGCCCTAACACCACCACGCCCCTCCTTTTAGACACACTTACAGAGCCACCTCCGAGAGCTGCTGCTTGGTGAGGTTCAGGGGATGATTGAAAGCAGTAATCCCATACTGGCTCGGATTCTCTCCCTTCTGGAGGTTGGCCCGGAGAATGGCGTTGTTGATGACATTCAGGAAAGAGCTGATAGCATGCCAGCCCTTGTTATTGAACCATACCTGAAGTAAAACAGAGAAGCTTCAAGGCAGTGCTGCCAAACCCTGCTCCCGGAAGTGAGTGCAAACACACAACAAACAACGCATACATGGAAACTTCAGAAAGGAATTCCAGTTAGTGACCCGCCAAAGAAGAGCATTGCAGATCCAGGATCCGTTGACCAGTGGCCACGGGACCAGCACTATGTTAAAACTTTATACTTTAACCAGTTACCCACATAAAGTTAGAGGTGGCCATGGCGACTGCCTTGCAGTTACATAGGAAAGTGACATCTAAACAGGTTAAGCAGCTTAAGGCAAAGATCAGAGTGGTTCACATGGTTAAGTCTGGTGACACAACAAATTTTCTTTATCACTATGCTGTATAGCCTCACTATACAGCCCCTAGCTACTTGACCAAGAGACTTCAAGGAGCACAGAGTTACTGTTTACCAAGAAGCTAGCAGAACATAGGCAAGGTGTACCTTGACGTTGTTTTTGGTATCCAGTCCTGTCATGAACCTTCCCAGGCTGCTGAGAAACCGATCTGCAGAGCTGCCCTGTAAACAACAGAGTCCGTCTCAGTGGGGTTTGTTCCACAGATACGGGGCGACAGTAAGCAATGAGACAGCTCTATGTAGAGGAAGACCACCGCCATGTCACTCACTGAAATTAAATCTAGAGCCATTGCATGTGTGGTTCCTGAGGACCAAGTAACCAGAATCCACAGTACTAATGTTTCCACGGTGCCACAAACCATGAAAAAAAAAATCACCAAAAAATTCCGTAACTTAAATCCCCAAGATTCTGGGGCTAGAGATGAATCAGCAGTGAAGAGCCATGTCTTCCCTTTCAGAGGTTCAATTCCCAGCACTTATATGGTGGCTCACACCAATCTGTAACACCAATGCTCTCTTCCGGCCTCTGTTGGGACTAGGCACACACATGGTACAGAGACTGGCATGCAGGCAAACCACCCATACACATAAGTGAAAATAAAAAAACTGAATTTCCAAGATTCTTCAGAGTCTCTTGGCATCATCCCAAGAAGTAAAACCCACAGTCCAGGCAGATGCAGCCTATGGCTTCAGGGAGCGCTGCATACTGTTGGCCCAGCACTACTGTCCACGACCCCAGAGTCCATGTCACCTGACCATTTTACTTGGGGAAACCTGAGATAGAGAGAAATGAATGGGGGCTTAGCCTGTCTTGAAGACCAGCCCACCAGCCTAAAACGTAAACTAACTCATTTTTCCTATTTCCTGTGTAGTCAGCAACGTTGGGGGAAGCATTTGGACCTCAATTCATTTACCCTCTGGCTAACTTCACCAGCTTGGCTGTTGTAAGAGCTTTTAATCTCAGAGTTCACTTTTGACCTACACTTTTAGAAGTGTGTGTGTGTGTGTGTGTGTGTGTGTGTGTGTGTGTGTGTGTGTG